GGAAGAGCGAGAGAAGAGTAAAAACCCACTGTCAGCAGAGGAGAGGCACAACAACTTATAAGTGAGCTCAGAAGCAAGATGTTTAGTTTTGAGAAGGGCAGAAGAAAACCCATATTTGGGCCTTACTCCATCCCCTGTTTGCAGTCATCCCAGTTCACAAAGAGGAACTGCTTGACATTGCAACACATGGCTCTTATTTACCACAGAAGGGTGGGAGGGAAGTACAGAGAGAGAGACGGTGCATCTCTGGAGCCAGCCAGGATCAACCCCACCCAGCAAACCTATCCAGAGCACTTGGAAAGCTGAATGAGCGCCGACGCCACCGAGGAGGAGAGGAGCACGAGAGGCGTTCTGGGGGGAGTCTAATCTCTTCCTTTTTTTCCCCATTTCATTTCTTTTTATGGAGATGAAGGCTATGCCCTGGCAGGCTTCCTGGAAATTCAGCTGTCCCAAGGATAGTTTGTTTGCTGTGAGAAAACTAAACTGACAAGACAGAGAAGCGATGCATGTGTTTGTGCGTGGCGCCGAGAGGGGGTGCAACAACAGAAACAGCTTGAGAAAGCCCCAGGACTTCTTCACAGCTGCCTCCTCATGTAGCTCAGCAGGGGCAGGTACACCTTGGCACCTGCTCCAAGATACCCCTGTGGTGAAAGAGGACTCCTGGCCTCCAGAGATGTGTTCAAAAAGAAGGATATTCAGATATTCAGAGATCTGTCTACCAGCTGGAAGGGAGCTCCTTGTGCTGGCCACAGTTCTTTCTACACCTGACATGAGGATATCACAAATTTATATGGAGTTTCCCCTTGCTAATCTCTCATCCCAGAATCAAGCAAATACCCTGAGGACTGGCCCCAGGATTTAACTTTTCTTGCCTCCGCTCCCAGCTCCCTTCCCATAGACGTGGCTTTCTCTGGGTCCTCGTGCAGCCACACGTGCTGTCCTGGCAAGCCACAGGGAAGCAGCAGGAAAGGACACGCTGCTGTCCCATGCCAAGGGTGGCATGGCAAGGCTCAGAGCTGGAAGCAGAAATGGAGAGGAGCCTGGGTTTGCCAGGCTGCAGGGAAAGATGAGCTCTATTTCTGCCTGCTCCGCTTCACCAGGATAACAACCAAACCCACTCCGTGCCACGGGGGAGTTAGGGATGAGGAATCAAGGAGCCAGGTGGTGCATTTGGTAACAGCCCCCTTGCTAACAAGTGTTTGCTGAAGAGCCTAAAGCTTGCTCCAGAAACTGAGAATAAAGCTGGTTTACTCATTAAAATGGACCACTGTAATTTAGTTTTAAACAGAATCACCTTCCTGGCAATGCCCAGCTCACCCCTGCCCTGCTGGCCACTAGATGCTCCCCGTGCTCCTCTTCCAGCACCCAGGAGACACAACCACTGCCAAAGGCTCTGCCAGGAGCACGGATGGGAAGCAAAGCCCCCGGGAGGGAAGTGAATGTGCTACAGCATCATCTGTGCTGAAGGCCAGAGATGAACATACGTTGTTTTTCTGGAACCATCCCCTCACTTACTTTAATGCCCTGTTTTCCTTTTCCTCCCCTCTGCCTCATACCACCACCTTCTTTTGACAGCACTGAGGTTACTGGTTTAGTTTTCTGGGGGCTGATAAGCCACTGCACTGACTTCTCAGAGGAAGAGCCATGTATATACAGTAATGATAAAGCTGACCTTGCAGAAAGTAACTGGCAAACCCAGGAAAGCTCTCGCTGAACTTCTCACCCTGGGAGCATCATCAGTGGCACCGCTGCTGGCTACTCGTGCGAGCAGCTCGGTCATGGTGATGGCCATGGTTGCCCTCCAACCTACACCCTTTTCTTCCCTTTTTCAATAGGCTAATTCTGATTTTGGATTTTTGGGGAAACAACCATGCTGCCTTTCTACATGTGGGCAGCCTGCAGGATGCAGAGCAGGACTCCAGCTCCTGCATCCAGAGTGGCAGAAAGCTGCCCTAACATCCTGACAGTGGGCTCCCATCTTGGTGGGAAGGGGGATTTTTCACATAATTAATTGCCTAGCTGTTAATCACCTCACACAGCACTTAAAGGAGAAGAACATGGCCACTTCATCTGGGTAACCAAACAGGATCAAAGCCTTCCTACCTCCTATCCTAACCCTGGCTGTTTGTAAGCCCTTCCAGCTGTATGCAGGCAACTGATAATGTTTTTCCACCACATCTTTTGTCCCCTTCCTTCACTCCTGTGCTCCAGATTCAGGTCCACATCCTTGGGCATGAGGCAGAGCTGCTCAAAGTCAGCATGGCACTGGCAACAAGGGAGGATGGAGGACTGGGGACTAGTTCAGAAGCACGTTAGCTTTGAAGTCTGATTTCTACACCACAGGAGATGCATAAAACCAGGGCAATTGGTACTAAATCAAAACTGCCTTCCATCTCTGCAGGACCCCAGCTGTGTAGCGCTTACCTGGAGTGGTAGGACTGATGCCACGGGGTGCCAAGCATACCCTGAGATATTTGCATCATGCTGGGATCGGGTTGGTTCTCCCCAAGTTTGGTTGAATGCCAGGAGTGAGGTCGGCCGGGAGTTTCGCTCCGCCTACGGAAAAGCAGAAGGATTTTGCACATCAGCAACAGGCCAGCTTTCCCAGGGTGAATGTGAAGTAACAGCGACAGCCACATTTAAAATTGCTCATGGTCGCTTCTGGATCACTGCTGTGTTTCTGTCTTTTCCAAGTGAATCAGGCAGGAATCACGCACTGTTCCTGACATCGCACAACACGCAAGGCAACAGGCGTGGGCAGAGGAGCAGGTTATCACCGAGTGTGAGGGGTCCTCCCTCTACCTCCCAGCCAGAAGCCTTCCCCCTTTTCTCAAAAGGTTCCCATCATTTTCAAGCGACAGCTGGCAAAGTCATCTAAAGAATCAGACACCACGAGGGGGTGGAAGCCTGCACGATGCTGTCTGGATCTCTCCTCAGTGCTTATAAAAATGCAGGAAGAGATGTGACAACTGAGTGCCAGCAATGCGTATCCTGTGCATCCCCAGGGCCTCGTGGCCAGCTTGCTGACCCCCTGCAGCACGTGAGCCTGGGTGCATCCCCAGGCCTTTGGTTCCTTCAGTCACCAACGCTAAGCAAGGCCTCCAACAGCTCTTAGGAGGAAAAGAAACCACTGACAACCTTATTTCAAACACGGAATGGTGCAATGGAAAGTCAAAGCAGGGGATTAGCCATCAAGTACCCTGAACATGCAGCACAGACTCTCCTCCATCCCTTAATCCTCTCTCTGCTTTCCACAGGGATCTCTCCCCCTGCTCTAGCACTTGGCTCTGCAGTTTCTAACCCTCTCTGTGAAAATGAGGAGCAGCACCAGACCTGTGTACTGCTGAGGTCCCAAATGTGACAGCCTGCACAACAACCTCCACTACCTATAAGGCATAAAAGCAAGAGGAGAATATAACACATCTTTAAAGTCTTTGCCTCACTGAGAGTTTCACAGCACAGCACGTCCTGAATAAATCAGTAGATAGATACAAATGCCCTCTGGAGATGTAATCCAGACACGGAAAGATGACTCTTCTGGTACTGCCCAAGATTGTGGAAAGAAAAGATACAGGAAGATGTACAAAGTAGAAATTATTGTTACGGTCAGATCCTTTACTGGCACAAGTTAACACTGGCACCACTGATGTTCTATGCCATGGAAAGTGAGGAGTAAAACCATCTCACAGCAGGTTTTCCAGACAGATTTCAGAAGCAAAGGTCATTCTCTCACCATCAGTTAAAAGAAAAAAGCAAAGGGTGTTTTTCTCCTTTAACACTTGCTGTGACAGGAGCATTCTTAAGCAGAGCTGAACTGGAGGCTTACAGAGGGCGAACTGAGCGAGCACCACTTCAGCGTGACATGTGTAGGTGTGCTTAAAACAGAGCTCTTTTGTTCTGCTCCTCGCCCAGCGACACAAGGAAGCTGAACGCTGCCAGATGGGAAGTTGACAAAAACTGCTTATTAAGAATAGCCACATCCTCGCCTTTTCCATTGAAGATTTAAAGACTCTCTGTGTACTTTCAAGCAGTTCAAGCCCTGTTATTATTTTTTTGCTGAGGAAAGCACACTGAATGCTCACAAGCAAAGCACGTTATCCCTTGATTTGATCAGTAAAAGCTGCAAGGCAGCTGCGTAGCCAATCTTCCAAGCCACTGGTATTTTAAACCCTTTTGGTTGATATCCTGGTAATAACACAACACGTGGCCAGCGAAGCCGTGAACTGAAGTCGGAAGACATGCCGTACCAGCTCAGTGCGCCATAACCTCGCAGTGTTTCCACACCTACCTGACCCTGGAAGCGTGGATTAAGGGTAACCGAATCTTAGCCGAGCTTAAGCCGAGCGAGGAAGCGCTGCGGTACACATGATCTCCAGCTCATGTTGCAGACTCACACAGGCAACGTCCAAGGAGGCGGCAGGATGGATGGATGGAGGGTCTGTGCATGCACCAAAAGGCAGAGAACAGAGGGCTTGGTCCATTCCCCACTGAATCAACCGAGAGACTCTCCTTGAGATGGGGATCGGAGGTTGTAGAGAAAGGCACAGCCTGTGCCCGTGTGTGTGGGTGTTCGGGGAACGCCAACAAGTTCCTCGCTTCAGCCTCCTGTAATACCTGAAAATAGCACCTTGCTTCACACCGCTTCCTTAAGCTGTAATGATTATTGCTCAACTAGGGAAGAGGACTGGAGCTGGAGAGCGACACGGCAGTGAGCACCACGGTGTGCACAGAGCAGCTGTCTCCTGTTACAGACCTGGGGCGAGCTGGACACGGCTCATCTGCCCATTCTGCAGCAGCTTTGGGTTACACTTGCTTCACTGCAGAGCACGACTTTCAGGAAGCAATAAAAACTGCTGCAAGATGAAACTTCTTTTGGTAAGTGGGGCAGAACTGCTTTTGTAAAGCCCAAAACGTCAGATCCTGATTCACCCCAGACAAACTGGCTGAGTGATAAAACTTGCAAGAACAGCAGCTCATTCCTGACTTGAGTGAAGACAAATAAAGCATTAGATCTTTAACTGGCACTATTTTGGTGTAGCTCAGTTGCCTTCAACAAAACCAGGAGCAACAGCTGATGCTTTGTACCAGGAGATCATAGGATTTCAAAAAGCAGAAGTGTAATACAATAATAATAATGATGATAATAATTATCATCATCATCAAAACCACCTCATCCCCTTCTCCTTTATACTAGTTCCTCAAGGGCTGCACCTCCACCATACCTGCAAAGGCTTTTGGACAATCTTATTACTAAAAAATCCTCCACTTGAGCTAATGGAGAAAGGGATCCCTCTGTTGTAAATGCCAAGGCTGGAAAAGAAACTCCCAGTTCATCCTGGACAACTCCTGTGATCAGATAACCTGGGCATCCAGCTCAGGTTGGCATCACGACAAATCCTTGCACTGAAGATACCCAGGGTGGACCTCGATGGCATCTGAACAGGCTCCACGGCAGCTGTAACACTGATTACACTCCAGATACTGCCAAATTCACAGAGTGAACTGGAAAACTGAAGGGAAAAGAATAGTCTTTAAGCTCATGCAGCTGCTGTTATCAGGGTGCTCCTCGTTGCTATACTGGTCACGGCATTTTCACACAGAAACGTGAGCACCACATTAGCAGTCTCCTCTAACACAGCCTGGCAAAGGTTTTCATGCTTTGTATGCAAAACAGTAATGGAACTTTATATGAAGATACTTTGGCACTAACTCTACCAATGAATCGGGATCTAGAGAAGCATTCTTCACAGGGATGATTTTGCCCAGCTGCTATTGCTAACGTGTCCAAGAAAGATGAGAAGAAATAGAGAAGAGAGCCAAGGTCACTCTCTGCCATCACAGACAACTGCAATCCCCACGAATGTGCTTATCCCCAGCAGCCGTGTGGCCCTGGCAGCTGCGTAGGACATTGGTGGGACTGGAAGAGACAGCCACGGCCTGGTCCCTTCAGCTGGGAGGTGGGAAAGGACAGAGGCCCTGCAGTGAAGACCCTCCTCATATAGAGGAAAATGAAGACTTGGACACAAGGGCAAAGCTTGTGCCTCTTGGATCCGATCCTGGGCACTGAGTCACAAGAGAGACAGACAAGAAGGGTCCCATCCTTACCATGTCATCCTTTCAGTGGTTGAGATTTCAAGCAAATGATGCTTCTAAACCAAAAATACAGTCAGTTTGACAGACATCCTAACGCCTCGCTGCAGTCCCCATGCCTCACTATTAAGCAGGAGATGAAGGAAGAACTAAAGCACTCAGAAGCCTATTAGGCTTTCGACAGAGCGAGGCCACAATCGACTCAAAGCAACGTCACTCTTAATTAAGGCTCAGTCATGGTTCTAAAAATAAGCAGAACAGACGAGGCCAATTAGAAAGAAGCTGGACCATAATGGCATGGGCTTGATGTGTCTTGCACTGAATCTGTCTTTCTAGGCTTGATGGAGCGTTTCTGGTAAATTCTGGGGCAGGAGAGATCTGGAGGGAGCAATGTCCCTTCAGGGTTTTGACTAAACAACACTGAAGAAAATCCTCACTTCAGAATGCTTCGATCAAACATGTGAATATTTTTGTACTAGGATACTTTTTTTCCACAGTATGTTCCTCTCTGCAACTTCTAGAGGATAACTCCTCAGCCAGGGGATCCCTTCAGAGTGGATTTAGCAGTCTCAGTCTTTAATCAAAAGAAAGAAAAAACCTTAAGAAAAATATCCAAGCCAAGTTCAGGGCTCTACCCCATACCAATGGCCTCATTTCTCTCTCAGGCCCCTTTCTCAGTGGCCCAGGCAGATGTTGTGCCTGTGTGTTGTTTCCAGCTGACATCAGACACTACTTGTTTTTAATTTGAGGAGCATCACTTGGGATGTCTGGGTTGCCTCACACCAGTGCCATGTCAGAACTGGGAGACAGGTACCAAGCTCCCTGAAGTCTCTTTGGGGTGAGAAAGCAGAGAATCAGAGGCTTCTACTCAGATTTCCTACCATTACCATCGCCAGCTCTCCCCACCATACCACGGGTGAAAGCTGAGATGACAACCACATATGCGGATGTACACACTGATTTTTTCCTGCCGTCCTTCTCAGCTCCACAAGCAGGAAACAGCCTGGCCCTGAAATGGTAAGGAAAGGTTATGTTGTGGATGGAAACGACCAAGGGCACAGCAACGGTCCGCAGGCTGCCTCTGCTAAGGGACAAGGTGCCTGAGGACATACAAAAGCATCACCTGCTGCAGCAAAATTTGCCAGAGTTTGGAGGAGCCCCAAAATTTTCTTTAAAGAAATGCTCTTTGCCCTGGGCTGCAGAAGGAAGTGCTGGGATCACTCAGAGGTGACGGCGGCTGTGAGCAACGGTTGCTCCTTAGCTGAACTCCCGAACAGTCAAACATTGTAATGGATGATGATTGGTCTTGTACATCACACCCCTGCGTTATCACATTTCTTCGGTAACCCCCAGGCCACCTTATCCAAGAAAGGGGCATTTATCCATTTTCCAGAAAAGGAAACAAAGGCCTCGAGAGGTGAAGTGACTCAACTAAAATCACTCCACGGCCCTACCGCAGCGTGCAGTGCTGAGAACCGGGCTGTGCGCTGCTGCTGCCTTTTCCCTCTGCCCAAGCATGTGTGTGACAGGCAGTATTTAGATTGAGGACTTTGCCCTGCGCCAAGACAGGGTCCCACCGGCATTCCCTGACACTGACCAGACAACGGGCTCAGACAGGAACAGCGGGGCTGTGGTTGTTCATGTGAGAGGTGATGTACACACAATTAATTCTTGCTGATAACTGGATTCAAGGACTTTGTCCTACTGGGATCTCCTGACAGCTTGCTTTTTTAAAGAAAGCATCACCAAGCAACATGATAAGTATGATTTAAATTGCAAGATAAAGGGTATTTCAGATCTCTATGTTGAGAAAGTACTCGTCTATCTGTGCTGCTCACACAGGACTGGGGCTTTGACACGTGGAGGCCAAGGCAGCCTCCTGCCTGGTACCTGGAGCAGTTGATGCTGAAATGAGGAGCTGCTGAGCACTGGATTAAAGACACTCTGTGACTTTCCTCTTCTTGTTACACTTCCACTCGCTGGAAAAAGAGGAAGAAAGAGCAGACCTGGAGAGGAGACAGCTGGCTGACTTACAGGTTCTTTGTTTCAGCTTGTGCCTTTGAGAGGGACTCTGTTATTTCCTGTCTTCTCCAAGCGTTCGCATCACCTTGCAGAGCACGGGTAGAAAATCTCAGCAGCCAGACCCTAAGGGGCCTTACCCTGCCCACGGCATTGCAGAAGTCACAGAGCTGCACTGATTTATCCGTACTGGTGAATCGGCCCAACGGGCTTAATTCAAATAATTTTTTCCTCATTCTTCTCCAGTCAGTAAATTCGTGAAAAAGACAGAAAAACAAGCATAGCTTGGATTCTTTTGCACCCCGATATCAAACACACAGCAACTTGCAACAGGAGAGACTTAGAAACAATGGAAGGAATGTGTTTTCCCCGTCCCCTCCAATCCTCAGGAGGAATTTGGTGGCTGGCAGCAGAAACGCTGCCCTGTGAGCCTGATTATCCAAAGGTAACGTGGACAGTGAGTCACGGCAGGTAACCAAGGGGATCTGTGGGGCAGGCACTGCAGATGGTGGCTGGGTTCTCCTCCGAGTTACAGGGCTACAAATCACAGGCAACGCTAACGGACTCGACACCAAAGTGCTAATGGAGGAATGACAAACGGGAGAGAAGAAGGGATCACCCAGAGGTGTGATGAAGAGATGTGCATACTTTAGTGTGTGTGTGTGACCTGTTCACAAACACGCGGCTTTCTCAGGTACTGCAATGAAAAAGAAGGGTAAAGGGTATGAAGGGGAGTTTAAACTTTCAGCTAGTTTGGTGAATTTGTGATTTACTCCTAGGTGCAAATTCACCTTCCCACTGTTCCTGCAGGTAGCAGATGGCATAGGCAGTCAGCCTTGAGTATCTCACTGGGACTTACACCAGTGAAGAGAGAGTGGAAGAGCAGATCTGCAGTCATCTGATACAATTCAAACCACTGACCCACTAACAAACCTGTCCTCTCCCTCATGGGAACTTGTAATCACTCTGGTAATAAACATCTTTTTGGTGAAAGACACCCCTGCACCTGGATTTCTAGACCAAATTCTTCCCTCTTTCACATCCCAGATTGCCCTTTACTGATGGGTAGAGCTGCAGTAAGGTATTTGCTCTGGCTGGCAATACCACCCTGGCCTGGTTTATTTTGCACAGCGGAGGAAATGGGATGTCAGTGAGTAATCGTTGTGTGTACGCTCAGTAGGGCAAGCAGCAGAGTGGTGCTGTGCTGCTCCTTTTCATCGATGCTCAACTGCAACACCTGAGAAACCGGTCCTGAGCTCTGGGCTTCCCCTGTGACTGAGGTCAGGCATTCATCACCCCGAATTTCAGAGACCGAGCGGGACTGCTGACAGCCTGCACCGCCTTGGGTGCGTCTGCGGAAAGTCAACAAGCAGGGGAATTGCAGCCGGTGCTACGGCCAAAGCAAAGGCTGCCGAGTCTGAAATACCCTCCCACACTCAAATTCTTATACATTAAAGCAACTTCCTGTTTGTAACCAGAGCTTCAGCTGAGTTAAACTACTGAGATATGCAGACACAGCCTCCAACACCGCCGGAACAGTAAAGCAAAACATTGGCTCTGCATCCAAAGAGAAATTAATCCGAATGAAATGCTAAGCTTTGGAGCTTCAGCAGAGATCTGCCACTGGATCAACAGGCAAGCAGGATTTACAGAGGGCATACACTGAATAACTCATTGCTACAGGAAGGTGGTGGATGTATGGGAGCTCCTTTCCCAAATTCCCTGTGGGTCACACACCTCAGGAAATGCAGAGTCTCTCGCCCCAGTCACAAGATAAATCTCTCCCTGTTAAAACCAGCTTCAGGAGAGATATCAGCCTCTACAATCTGATAACAGTTATGGTACAAACCCTCAGCTGGAGGAAAACAATACAAATTCAGTGTGGTTGACAGCAGTGGCTAAAAGCTGGGGCAGCTCCACCAAGGTCAGCGAGTTTGCTCCACAAGTGCATCCTTGCTGATAAAATCAGAACGTGACTTCACACACTGCATTTTCTTCTCAGCTGCTCATGGGGCCACATTTCCTCCAGCTACAGGACAGTAGTGGGGCTTCTTGACTTTAAATAAGTCAAGGGCTGGCCTGAATGCAATGTTGCCAATAAAAGTCCCTGCTTTGGCTTCATGGTGCAGAGCCCAGAAGACTGAGACACAAAAATCTATGAGGTCATCCAGATTAGCATCTGCCTGATGTCACTGGCTCTTTTGATACCAAAAAAGCTTTGCCTGAGTAAACGCCACAGGATTTGGCCCTAAACTGCAGGGACAAAGGAAGGAAATTAGGCTCTGTCATAACACCGGCTGATCCAGAGCAATTCAGGAAACTGACTTCTGGAGACATTTAGTAATTTAAAAATGCAGATAAGCACTCAGCAGGGTTGGCAGGAAAGCCACACTCCTACTGAAACTCAGAGTTTCGGTAGAAGCCAGGCACCTAAGGCAGGCTGACATCATTTCTGTAGAGATATTTTGATCCAGCATCTCTGGGGATGCCACCACTGACAAAGGTTTTGAGGAGAAAAGACACCTCATTCGGGACACCCTCAGGCATCTTGGCAGCCAAAGCAGTGAGTATTTTACACCCTGCCCTATGTATGTTACTGACATTCAGCAATGCTGACGACTCATAGCCCAAAAGGTGAATTCACTTCCCTGGCACCGTGCTGAGGGGATGGAAGCCTTGGGAAAAGCTGGGCGTGAGGTTAAGAAACTGTCCTGGGCCTCTTCCACCACAGACGCTGGGGATTCACGCTGCTCCAGTCCAGCCTTGCTGCCACTCTCATTCCCTCAAGAGGGATGTGGAGTTTGCCAGCCACTCTCCAAAAACACCCATGCAGACACAGACACACGGATACACACACACTCCCAGCCACTCTCCAAAAACACCCATGCAGACATGGACACACGGATACACACACGCTGACCTGCTCTTCAGCCGTAACTTAACTCCTCCCGACCACGTGGGTTTGCTGGGCTGAAAGTCAGTGCTCACGCAGTCCAAACTGGGTGGGTTGGGAGCTGGGTCGCTGCATCCCTTCGCTGCATGTGTGTCCCTGCCAAAAGAAATCCAGACCATGTCAAGATAGATGCACAAAAACCTCAGCCCTTGTATCCTACGTGGAAAATGCATTTTAAGACAGAAGGCAATAAACAGACCTGGAAGGCAAGGCAGGGGAATTAATCTAGTTTTTAAAAAAAAGCGAAGAAAATGCCACCAAAAGCCACATGTATCCCATCTCTTCTCTATGTCATTGCCCAGGGAGGCTGTAAGAGCAAGGCTTTGCTCTTCTTTATACCCAGGCAGTGCTCAGTCCCTGTGAGAGCCCCCCATACCCATTTGGGAGGAGCTGCACCACACCACAGCGCTGCTTCTCGGCACGCAGGAGAGATCAGCTGCAGCATCCACGGCTCGAAACTCATCACCCAGCAGCTGCATTTTGGGACTCCAAACCCCCAGGTGTGGAGTTCAGGAGCTCCACTGCGGGATGTGCCCTCTCCACACGTAACCACCTCACGAGAGCTCAAGGGATGCTCTGAACCCACCAGAGAAAAGCAAAGGGAAAGGTCCACAGAGAGAGCAAGAAAGAGCAGCCTACCCCTCCTTTTACTGATATTTCCACCAAGTCAGCAAATAAATATTTACCCCGCTTCACCACACAGAAGTCACACAAACACCGCGTAACCATCGCTCCAGCTCCTTCCTTCCCGCAGGTGCAGCAGAGCCCGAAGCGATCCCGTCTTCCCACTCGCCCCCATCTCTCACTCCAAAACGCGAGAGAGATTTGAGATTTCTGCAAGCCCAAGGAACCCCCACGCCGAATAAAAGGGGCTTTGAAAGGACCCCGGCCCGGGGGACGTCGTAATGGCCTCTCGCTGCGTTGCTTAGCGGGCTGCAGGCTGAGCGCGCAGGCCGGCATCTGGGGCTTTGGATGGCTGAGATGGCTTGGATGCCATTGCGGTGAGAGGCGGCCGTCTTTGTGTCCGGCTCGGTCCTCCCCCACGCTCCCTCCCCAGAGCCCACGTGCCGGGCAGGAATGTTAAGCCGCACATTGCGGGTGAGATATAGCAGGGAAACGCAGCAGCACTTTCACCTCCGTCAGGGAAAGCGACTGGGCCGGAACGGCCTTTTCGCTCACCCTGCTTATCTTCATCCAAATTGCACCCCAAAGCCCGTCCTTCTTTGTGTCTGTCACCCCCTCTCCTCTGAGATGATGTGAAGCTGCTCATCAAACCTGAAAGGTACCAGCCTTGCTGTGTACCAGGAGCTCGACCTCCCTCACTGCAGCCCTGCAAAGTGCCAACACCATGAAATGACTCCAATTCTCTTTGCTGACCAAGTCCACATGACAAATTCCCGATTTTTAGGAGAGATTTCCCTGTGAGAAAGGAGAAAGGAGATGCTACAGATGAAAGGAAGTTTTAAAAGGTTGGGCATACACGATTTATACAAATAGGTACACAATTTTGTAAGCAAAATATATTTATATTTGTAGTGCTTCAAGGACTTTTGAGGACAAAGCCCCCTGCTTAAGGCTTTGTGTAGAAGAGATGCTCCCAGCCACAAAGAGCTGCATTTCTGCCCTACAACACTGCCCCCGAGGTTTCTGTGACAAGAGGCCCCACACAGCCCCTGGGAGCGTTCAAGCACAGCCAAAATTCACGGCGAGGCTGCTGCTGGTCGTGCTGAAGCCTAATGAGGTGTTGTGCCGACAGCGTCGTGGCAGGATCCCATCAGAGGGGAAAGGATCTCAGCAGAGGCACTTGTTTTAGCGCCAGGGCAAAGCCTGATCTCCCTGTCAGGCCTCATTTCCCACCCCTTGCACCGCTCTGTTTTGCTATGAAGAGAAGGTTCACAGCAGAAGAAGACACAGTAGAAGATCTTTGCCACGATCATAGGAGATGCCTCGGATCGGCAATGAACTCTCCTGACACGGCTCAGAACCTCAATAGGCTCTTCCTAAATCGCCTCTCCCAGGCTACACCACAGCCGTTCTGCTGCTGTGAGCGAAGCTGCTCGTGTCTTCTCTCCCGTCAGCTATTTCCCAAGTAGAGGAACAATATTTAGGACTGGGAAACTGCCCTTGTGCCAAAACAGGAGTAATCAGCAGCCTGAGAAACTGATATCAAGGAGCGAGTGCCTACAGCTTCCCCATCACCACAGCCCAGTGATCTTTCAGCACTTAGGGTCTTTTATTCTTTAAAAAAACCCAGCTTTTGAAACATGACGAAAGCAAGAGACAACACAGGCTGTAAACTGCAGCGAGCAGAGCTCTTTATGTCCCATGTGGATCCACACAGACCCGACCGGCTACAGGCAGGGAGGGTAAGCAGCTTGGGTGTTACCCATTGCACAGTGAGGACCCTGCGCTTGCCAGCATGCACGGCTTTGGGGTTTACCTCAGTGAGACAAAGAAACCTTAATTAGTGTCTGCATGGGCTCGGGGTTGTTGTGAGAAGGAAACACAACAGAGTTTTTCCCGAGCCTCTTAAAAACCTGTAATTACTGAGCTCTGTGTGGTGGGCTCAACAAGACATTGAAAACTAATCAGCCAGGCTATAAATGAGCCCATTAATCAAGGGGAACACAAGAGATGAGGATCCCTCCACCAGAGAAGCACACACACATCGGGCATGGAGCACAGCAGCTCTCCAACCACCGCCGGGGGCTTTGCCAGAGAGACTGCTCCCTCATTTTGTAACCATCAGGAGTGCCTTCATCTCCAGAAAAACCATTTCTTCAAGACACAACCACCTGGTGCAGAGACACTGAGGGCCTACCTTGTGTCTCGGCTTCTGCCTTCTCCTTGGACCGACCGTCCTCCTGCAGCCCCAGCTGCCCACAACAGCGCCCGGCCCGCTGGGATGCTCCTTAGTGTCGGGGCCGCATTTTATTTCGGGATGTTGCAAAGCGCCTCACAATTGCAGGGCTAAAAAGGATCCTCGGCGAGGAGTGGCCCGCAGTTGTTCTTTTTGTTATTGCGTTGTTGCTAAAGCTCACAAGCGGGAGACGAGAAGCCTCGCAGGGTCTATTTAAAACTGCTTCACCTCCCACCTGAGGCCGGCAGCTGCCGCCGAAATCTTTCCTTTTCTGCAAAGTTCGTGTTTAATTACGAATTGTTATTTATACTTACAGCTTCCATGGGGCCTTTGGTATGTAATGCCACACGTGTTAATGCCTTGCTGTACAATGACACTCTGCTCAGCTTCTCCCTCGTCTAAAAATATGTCCTGTTCAGTTTTCCTCTTGGTGCTTGCTTGACCAACAGCGAAATACAGATTAATCATTTTAAGCCAATGCCAGGTTTGCTGCCATGGTAATAGAAGACCTAAGTCCCAGAGGATCAAACTCCCCAATGTTAATAGGTTTAGTAATTTTTAATGTCTCATTACTCCTAAGCCCAGTGTGATTTCTAGACAAGAGGACGGAGCTTAAATTCTGATTTGTAAATCATTTGGGATCGACAGGAATGTTTATAACCACTACCAGAATTAAAAGCTTTCCTAGAAAAATAACTGCTCACGCGCTGACGCTTCCGAAACAGAGATTAGAGCAAGGCACTGCTCTTTCAAGCTGTACAGTGATTTGAAGGCATTTCCAGGTATTTTTTGCCCTTTGCCTTAAATCAGAACCCTCCTCCACCACAGAAGCAGCCAACAGCACAGCACAGCCACAACGATAAGGAGAAGCAGCACCGAAGCAGAACTCGGCTCTGATGCTCCGCAAGGAGGGATTCGAACGGGTTAAGGCTGCTGTTGTATCCTTAGGGCACCCAGGTTACACAATGTCCCAGGGCATCCTGAGATCCCCGGCTCAGCCAAGTGACATGAGGACAGTTTGGCAGCTTCACCTCTGGCCATCCTCATCCTGCAGGCAAGCTCTCAGCAGCCGATGAGCTGGAATTACGGCTCCTTGTGAATGAAAACGCCGCCTCTGCGACAGTCCCCGATCCCTTGGCAAACAGCAAAGCTCCTTGGGCAAGGGGACAGGGACCACGCTCATCCCGGTCACCAACCTTGCACTTTCCAGTGGGGACGCTGCTTTGCAGATCCTCGTGCTCCAGCTGAAGTGAAAAGACCGGATTGCTTCTGTATTTTCTTGTTTTGTTACCTCCTGTGGCTGCTCCAGAAATAGCCCCTAATCCACGTATCTGTCACGCTCACAGAATCTCCTTTAGCCAAAGTGGAAGTGTCCTGCGTGCCAGGGCACAAAGGTCCAGGTCCTCTCCTGGCCAGGGCACATGTGGGTCTTAGCCAGGACCATACGGAAACACGAGGAGAAACCAATTTTTCCATCAGAAAAATTCTGCTAAGTTGGAAACTTGAAATGTTGAAACTTTCCTTTGAAGGGTCTAAAGCTTTTGCTGGGAAAAGCCTCTCAGTTCCTGGGTCACATCTCCAGTCTGCCACTTAGGGCACTCACCTGAGACGTGCAGGAGCCAGGTTCAGGTCCACAGTCTATGAGGCAGATAAGGAATTCAAGGCTGTTTCATGGACACCTCAAAACACAACCCCTGGAAGGACTCTCTCATCCTAATGCAGAGCAACACAGGCTTTGAAATCTCAGTAAGGCTCACTGAGCACACCAATCCTGGGACCCAAAGAGGTCTTCCTGCAGCAAGGTCCAAGTCTCAAGTAAATGCATTAATATCCACATCTTGGATTGAGGTGGGTCAGTAAAGCTCATGGGAAAAGCCACACAACCCAAAGCCATTCAGAGAAACGGGAATATCTAACACAGGATTTTTCATATGGGTCGCAGGCACATCCATGCTCATATCAGTTAATTCAGGATTACCAGAGCTGATCTTCGTGCCATAAACCAACCACCAAGGGAAAAGGAGAATTTTTCCAGGAACAGGGCAGAGCTAGCTCGCACTTTTCTAAATGCCAAAATTAAAGACATTTTAAAGGGCTAAGACATCACGGAGCTGTCTTGGGATGGCAAATTTTAGGTGG